AAAAAAAAAATGAAACGAGTAACCTAAAATTCTCTTTTTGTGATTACTTGTAATTGCCAAAAATCAGTTTTTAAAAGTTTGACGCTTTCCAGCTCTGTGATGGCTACCCGAGGTTCAGGCCGTTTGTGTCATTTTCAGGCAAGATGAGTTACATACTCAAACCTTTCTGTTCTTCGTATTTCTGACCCATCTTGGCAGTACTGGCGTTTAACAGATCAGAAAAATGACCGGCTCCATTTTCATTTCCGCCACTGCTTTCAGATTGATGCGCTTAAAGTGAGCAACCGCTCCGGGCAAGCCAAGTTGGTAAGCATCTTTTCGCCTTGCAGATCAATCAGGCTGCGAAAATAACACATCCTATTCTGCTGGATAATATTTTTATCAGTGAGTGTTTAGGAAACGTTTCGAGCAGCGTTGAGTGAGTCTCTGACTGACATCATAATGGTTGTCCAGATTCGATCAAGATAAGATTCTTTTCTCTCTCTCTCTCTCTTTCTCTTGCTAGCCACACTCTTCTTGAGGATTGGTTCTGGCTCTAATTTTAGAGAAGGCGGGGTTGCCCACTTGGCTTCCAAGCATCTTGGATATTTGGTATCTTAGTGATAAATTAACGGGCACTGCTCCTCACATGCTAAGTAATTAATATCGAGAGGCCATCAATGTTTTCTGAGTCTCCTTACTAACTCTGCCTTTTTAAGTGCTAAACTGCTATGCTTGCCTGCTCAGTTTCAAGCAATAATAAAGCAGAAGATAAGGGATCGGTCTATGCAAGAAAGCGTGTTTTGATGCGGCTTGTGTTTTGTCCTTTATCTGTAAGCTCAGAGTGAACGCAGGATATGGGAAGAACTGGAAATCATCAGTACAGATGAACACGTATTAAACTGCACAGTACTAAAGAGAAGACAGTCGAGAAGAGAAAAAGTTGTGAAAATGGAGTAGACAAAAGATGTCAAGCATAGTTCGATCCAGGGTAACTGAGATTCCGACTAAATGAAGCGAAACCCCATTCCTAAATGGTGTGAAGCAAATTTCAAACAAAAATTGCGTAGTTGCCTTGTCATAGTTGAATTCCAGTAATCTTTAGCTCAGATTTGCGTCACCAAGAAAGTCGTACTGAAGAAATGCGTACAAGTACAGAAAGTATTCCTGCATGGTCCAGACTTTGTGCATTAGCAACTATTTAGCACTGAACCCATGCTAAAAATCCAGGCTTCGCCAGCTGGGAAACCAACTCCGTAGAATTTGTTTTCATTCATTTCGTCGATGGCGGTACCGGCATGTGTCAGGAAGGTAAAAACCGCTATTACCTACTTGCAGGCAACCTTAAAAAGAGGGAGCCATCAACATCGCTGCCAGCAGTTGGTTGCCAATGAACATATGTTACCACGTGCTATTTACATGTGATTGCATTTGCACTGCTTCCGAGTGCCTCCGCCTCTCAAAAAGTGAGAATAGGAGGCTCTGACTTTTGATCTGTTTTTTACGAAATTTGTTTGAAAATAACTCTAAGGAAAAAGGAGGAAATGAGTTCGCATCGCATGCAGCAAGATGGTCTACAATTCACACTATTTGGTCGAACATCAAAGGGTTTTAAATGGACAATCAAAAAACGAAAGAAAATACATAGTGTGCCAAGTTGCGATCTGCGCCTATCCGATGCGTACCATTGGATCTGGAACAATAGGTAGCTATAATAAAAAACAGTTTGGCTTGGGGAGAAAAATTGTAACGCGATAAATTAAACCAGTTTGTTCAAGTACCACTAGTCGATGCAGGAAGCTTCAGAAAATTACTCAGCTGAGACGACTGGTAGTGCACTGGTTGTGGATGGTGGCCTCATTTTGTGGATTTTGCTAGTTAAGGGATGAATTAAGGAAAATCATGACGCGGAGTAGTTGTAACAGTATGTAGCTTACCGGGAATAGATCGGCATTGGGGTATTGTACTGGATATTGGAAGGCATTGCTTCTTCGGGCAGTACTTTGGAAACCAGTAAGTGCGGAGAGTGAAGACCCAGCGCTGCTGCTGTTGATGCTGTTGCTGCCAGAGTGGATGCTGAGGAAGCTAGCGCTGCTGTTACTTGAGCTTGAGCGCACAGGGGGAGCCGCTTTGTGTATGAGAAGGGTCGTCTGCCGGGGTTCGGATCATTGAATGAGGAGGCAAGAACTGCTGGTACAGCCACACCCTCCACCACAACATGCTTCATCGCTTTGGAAGCATCAGCATACACCTTTGTTCCTTTTTTTTTTTGGTCGGTTCCGAACAGGAGCAATCACAGCACTGCAAATTATTTGGATGTAATAAGACGAGCTTCATGTCATTTGATCCAACAAATAGCTGCGAACACTAAAAGACTGACGTGATCATCGCGTCTTGCGACGTCTGCTGAGCGTACACTGAGCGGGCACGAAATGACTGTAATGCACCAGGTTGGTGACAACTTTACTCACCTGACGATTTTCGCAGCCAAACTTTACAAGCCGCAACAGAACTTTATCTGTGCTTGCGGCCAAGGAATGAAACACATGCAGGTTTTTTTGTATGCGCATTCAGTATATGAACTTGTAATTCCTATGCCTACATTCTAATACTGCATCATTCTGTAATTGTGATGAAAATTTAATTTGAGTCTAATAAAACGAAATGGATTGCTGAGGCTCCAAGGTTGTTTATGTGTATTCATCTCGACAATATAGCGGATCCGGATTTTTGGAACATTAACCGTGTAACAGATTCGTTTTGAAATTATTAAAATCATTCAAATCTAGGCCGACGGTCGAAAACCAGGATTTTTGAATGCTTTTTTAGACATACTCTTTTCCCACATGCAGTTCTCCCTCCCTCTTCCCCCTCCGCGTTTAGGCGAATTTCTCCAAAGTGCTTGTTGATCAACGGTTGTTCCACCGTCAAATTTTCCTCCTCACGATCAATGCAGCTATCAACTTTCCTCACATACAACTAATTCCAAATAGTTCAGGGCGTTCATCTCAATCTTTCTTGTTCCATTAGATTCAGAGTTAAAAAAACTGCTTCTGGCTTTACTCAAAGATGGTTCGAGTCAGTAGCAGGCTTGAACGAAATTCGTCGTACTTGGCTGAACCATATTAAAAGTTCAACGCTCCGCCTGCATAACTCTTTTTTGGTACCGGAACTGAACTTTGCGGACTGTTGTGGGCTCGTCGTAATGAAATTTTTGCTCAGCATGTACAATAAAAAAGCATAAAAGGAAAAGAGTTGCGTGTGTTTGTGCATGGCTAAATCAGCGCTTTCATGGAGCATGAGCGTAAGAATATTATCACACGCTTTCAACAGATAACAAGTGAACGAAATGAAAGAACGATAACAAAATGCCGGAGGCTGCTGAATCGTTCGCCGAGCTACATAACATAACATGAAGCTGCTACTAGGCTGGAGTCACTCTCTGGCGCACTTAATTCGCTCTCCGTGTGACTGTGTAAAAATTTGCATCAGGCCACTCCTGTATATTTTGCTTCTTGCTGCAGTGATATTTTCTGCATTTCAGCGCAGCAAAAAATTTCTCTGAAATGCATAACATCCCACCGGCATACCCCCATGTTTTCACCGCTGTTTGTGCGAGTCTCGCGCCAAATGCTCGCGGTGGAAGTGTTCATCTCCAATCGCACAATCTTGGTCATTTTGAAAACGACACTCAGATGGTCCATTTCAGTCTAGGCGTTAGAACATAAAAGGATTAGTTTTATTTCGCAGCTGATCCACCACATAAAAAAATAAATAGCGATGCGCACCAAGGCAGCCGGTGCGATCATGCGTTTTGTGCAATTCCGTTCACCGAACGATTGCCTGCTAATGATTTT